AGGGTGTGCTGGTTTAATTATAGTAAAATAGTCCTGGTACTGATGTAACTTCAGGAGTGATTGAAGTCAAGAACTGAGGGAGATTTGAAGAGAAACTGAATGTTGGTATGGATATTGTTATGGACAGTTATTCTAAAAAACATAGTTTTGGGTCTAACAGAAAACTTCACACTTTAGGCTCTGAGCCAGTCTATTAAAAATTTGGGTTATGGTTTGCTTTTGTAACCTGCAGGGACAAGAGCAGTGGGTAGGTTATGCCACTCTTGCCTGTTACACAGCAAAGAATCATTTGATGTGTGAGGAGCTTGGACTGCCAGCTCTATTTGCAGGAGTGTGTCCATGTGAATTGTTTAAAAATGTGATTTAACATATCCAGTGAGGTGTGTCAAATCTGACGTAAGTGCACATAAGTGCAGTTGTGTGTTCTGTCTTGATGCTGGTGATTAAATCACTGTATCACTGAGTGATCTGACATTACCAGCTGTGGAACTCTGTCTAGCAAGAGCAGGTCCATCCTGGCAATTCTCATTTGTTATTCTAGTGAAAGTTGGTGGTACTACTAATGGACACTGAAGATTCCTTTTTATTTTCTTTACTGATTATTGTTCCAGGTTATGCAGATTCTGGATCAAAGCATAGCTATAACTTTTTTCTTGACTCATCCTTTGTGGAAGTGTGTTTTTTGTTTCTATTAACTTGGTGATTTAGAACGTAATGTCTGAAGTAGCTACATATATATGAAAGTAGATCCTCATGCTTAAATTATGGACTTTGTTTACTGAGTCTTCTTTCATTCCCTTCTAATTCCAGCACCTGGATTCTTCAGTAAATCAGTCAATTCACTGATAATTTCACGAATTTCTGTAGTCCAGTATAATGATTCAATTTTTAAATTAAAAACTATTAGTATATGTAAGGATAAGTGATGTTTTGTTTGTTTAAGTGAAATATATTTAGTTGAACTGTTTGTGAGAATTTGGTAGAAGTTGTTTGGCAGTTCCTGTGACAGATTTGGGCAGGGGTGTCAGGAGGCTATTTGTAAGTAAAATCCACAGTGAGTTGATCTTTTCAGATAAAGTGAAGAAAGGTTTTGCTTTTTGTTTTCTTGATCTGGGTGAAACCATCTGTGTTTTCACGTGCAGAGCCGTAGTCCATCATTGCAAAGAGCTGTGCTGGATGCAGTGTTGTATTGAGCTGTAAATCACAACCTGCTGAGGGGAATTTAACTTGCCTGTAGCTCTACCAGTGTTAAAATCGACAGTTTTAATCCCTTTCACTTGAAAGTGTGAGGTTTTAGCTGAGGAGTGCCTGTTACAAAGAGTAAAACCAACCTGTCTGAAGCTGCTTAGAGGTCCCCTGAGCAAGTGGCACTGGGGAGAACACCTGAGGTCTGGTAATCAGCTGAACAATGGTGCTGGTTTCTGCAATTTCATACTGCTGATGAGCTGCACATGAGAAGAGAAATGTTTCATTGTCCTAATTCTGTAAATGAAATAACAATTCTTACTCAAATTCAGTCAGGAATATTTCAAAGTTTTTAGCAAATATTTGATGAATTGCATTGTCTGGATTAGAGATAAAACTGCCTTCTGAAATGCATGAAATAGTGAGAAGAAGAATTTTTTTACTTTTTGTTTATACTAGGAGCAAACTTAATTTCTGGAAAATCCAGATAATCCTTGACTGGATTTCTAGACAGAAGTTATAATTGTTTTTTACTGTGAAGACAGCACAGTCTTGTGTGTGTGTTCCATTCTTCAGGCTAGGTAAATTTTTTTTTTTTGTGTAAAGGTTATAGCATGATCAAAGCAAGCATATAGAGTACAATAGTGTGCAAAAGGACAGAAGCGGATGCTTAAAACAGTATTTAATTCCATTTAATTTTGCTGTAAGTTTGAAGTCTGTAATTATAAATAATAGTAAGGGAGTTTTTTTTTAAATGTTGCTTGTTTGTTTTTTAAAATCCACTGTGTTAATTTTTAAGTTATTCTGTGTCACTTATCAGAAATCTAGAAATAATAGTTTTGTAGGAAAACATTCAGTAATTACTTTATTAAAGTTTGAAGTATTGATGATAAAATATTAATCATATATGCCAGGGACATAGAAGCAGTTTAGTGTGTTTTGGTGGGGAGAGTTTTATTGTTATTGACAGGGTTTTGTGTGCATGTATGTTGGGTTTATTGTTGTGGGTTTTTTTTTGTTTTTTTTTCTTTAACACATGGTGCTTTTATTTTTAACTTCAGAACAGTGTTTTGCTGCTTAGTTCTAGCAGTGATAAGAATGTTAGTGTCAAGAGCCTGGCTCTTGCTCTCAGATGTTTTTGTCTCTTTTCAGAGCAGATCTAAATTATTTTCTGGAGATGTTCTGGAGTTTTCCCAAGTCCTTCACTGGTCCCCGTGGGCAGTTATGGGAACCAGTGAACACAGATAGGATGGAAAAAATGTGATGAACACCGGTCAGTTCATCATAAGGGCTTGTTATTTTCTAGTAAGTGTCATCTCCTACAATTTAATGTGTTGGGTACAATTTTATGATACAGCTGAGTCAGTGCAGTGGCTTTTTGTCACAAAAAAACTCCTTTATCTTCACACCCATGATTTTGCAAAGGAAGGCACTGAGAACCACAGCAGTCAGCTGTGGCATTTGTTGTTCTTTTTTTCTGAGTCAATTCAGTTGATTAACTGGTTGGATTTGATTTTTGCCTGAAGGAAAAACAGCTTTTCTGCAAAATTAGTGTGACAATTTGGCTAATAGAGGAGCCTGGTTAGTGCAAGAGCAACAGAATTCTGGGAGAAGGCATGGAACATGAGGACAGTGAGCAGCTGGGTCATCCAGTCTAAGCTGAAAGGTGATAGCACGTAATCAGAAATAAGCTTAAATCCTGTTTGGTACCGTCTTTTATGTTCTTTTTAAAGAGCTAAACTGTGACTCAGAAGTTCTGCAGTCTGAGCAGGGGTTCTGAGGAAAGGTGGATTTAAGCTTCTGGGGAAGCCTAAAGTAATGTGTGAATGCTAAGTACACGGGGTTTGTAGGTGAAGGTTGTTGTGGTTTTTTTTTAATTTTATTTGAGACTGCACATACCAATCAGAATCTATTCAGTCATGTGATGCAAAGTAGAAGTTTATCATTCTGGTTTGGCAGACTCAACTCAGAATGTGTATGAACGTGGAGTAAAAACTTTGTGGTTGAAGTGTGATTGTCAGTTCTCATCTCTAGTCGGAATTAGATATGTAAATGTAAACATTTAATGTTTATCACAAATCAGAATGGGACCAGAGGATGGGAAAATGTGTTTCAGTGGAGGTTTTTAAAAGGATCTATGTCAAAAAATTGAGGTATAATCTGCTTCTTGATGTACTCTGCTGGTGCTTTCAGTACACGTGCTGGCTGGGCTGTTTGTTAAGCTGTGAGAAGACTGGCCAAAATGTATCACTTTCTGCTCAGTTAGCAAACTGATGTAGCCCTGTAAGGGCTCAGATGAGTGGCAGCACTAAGGCAGGATGGAAGGTGAGGCCGTACATGAATGACTTAATTTCCTTCCAGCGTCCTGATACTATACCCATAATGCTTTTCCCTGGGAATTTGGAGAACTTGGAGACAATAGTTTGTGCAATTTTTAGAAGCCTCTCCCTAGTCTGTGTTATTAAAAAAAAGTTTCAAACACTGTTTAAGAGAAGTTATGGTTCTGCAAGATAAGCTATTTGAAGAGTTGCTAAAAGGTACGTGTATCTATACTGGTCCATATATCTGCATCAATTATCTGACTAAAAAATAATATAGTACATTAAAGCTCTTGATTTCTTGCATTGAGACTGCTTGGACTGCAGACAAGGGTTTTACATTACCCTAGTAATGAAATCACAGTGTATGCAAAACTGAATAACTCATATGCAAAACAGTTGTCTTCAACCTTAATCTTTTTCAAACTTGATAATAACATTGTGTGTACTCAGTCTTAATTTTTAGTTTTATGGAGCACCTGGATTCTTACAGTACAGGAAAGGATCTCTAGTGAAAATAATGGATAATACTATAGTTGGAAGAAGCTATAACAAAAAATAAGTAACTATAAGCAGCTATAGCTAAGTGGAAGTTTTATGATATTATAATATTGTTACTACATCATTGTGCATATTTTATTTGAAAATAAAAGCATTCCATGATTGCATGCACAAGTGTTAATTACCTTTCTTCTCTCAGTGCTGAAAAGTACCATTTTAGCTGATGCTGTAAAGCAATTGAGTATCCTGTTTAATAACTATAAAAATCTGCCTTTTTTCATGAATAATAATAAAAATCCTGTAATTATAGTTTGGTTAGTGACTGTTAGTTGGTGCTCTCTAAAGGCAGTTAATCTTTGTATTCTGTTGTGAATATGTCTTTATCTCTAACAATTTAATCAATGCTTCTGTGCTTATTTTTTTTTTCTCCTCTGGCAAGTGACAGTATTAATCACTAGATTAAAAAAGACTTGATTTTCAATTTGCTTTCAGATATTAGTCTTTTGTGGGTTTTTTTTAAAAAACAAGTGAAATCAAGTGAAAATATTTCAGTCTTCAGTTGACATTTATTAGGATAATCTGTGTTAAATGTTACATTCTTTAATTATGTTTTGGAGTAAATTTGCCATATTGATTTAATGTGAATTCTGGTTGATTAGAACTTGACAGACAGTCAATTGATTTTGAAATGTACTGGATCTAAACAGTTCTGTGCTTGGGAAAGAGAATCTGAACTATGCTGTCTTAGGCTAAAGAGAGCTCTCCTATTTTCTGTTTTATGGTTTGTATTGGTATTACTTGGTAGTAATTAACTTCCAGTGAAGCAGTTAGTTGCTTCAAAGCAATTAGAATTGCTAAATAAATTTGTGCAGGCAATATTTGCTTGACTGGGAAAATACATTGAGCAGTTGGCAGTGTGTAACATATAAAAGTAACAAAGTTGTTACCTTTTCCTTAATGTCAGCAGTATTAATTGCATTATTCCATTTTCTCTAGTTAAAGTACCTCGTAATTTTCGCTTGTTGGAAGAACTTGAAGAAGGGCAGAAGGGAGTAGGTGATGGTACAGTAAGCTGGGGCCTTGAAGATGATGAAGATATGACACTCACCAGATGGACAGGAATGATTATTGGGCCACCAAGGGTAAGTGTGATGAAATAAAACATTTTTATTAAGTTTTTAGGCAATACAAAATGCAAAAGTTACTATTCTACAGTGTAAAGGACTAGTTAAAATTCAGTGTATGAAATTGTAGAAATAATGTATAATTCCTCATTTTCTGGCATGTAAGTATTTCAGGCTAGCCTCCCCTGTTTCTGCAGCTGTCTGTAAAAGCCAGTTGTGATCTGAGACGTATTTTACTCAGTTATGAGTATATTAATTCTACATTTCCACTGTTATTGAACATAAGTGTAGACTGATAGTACAATAAACAGGTCTTTCCCATTTTGTCACGCTCCTGATAATTTCAATTTTGTAGCAAACTGGCAATGTATTTTCAACTTCTACAAGTTCTATAGAACAGTCTTTCAGTATAACAGTGTTAGAATGTCAGTTGAATCATACCTAAAGACTAGCAGCTTCTAATCACCTTTAATCCTTCTGACCTCTGAAGTTCTGTAGAGTGTCATTTAGACTGATACAACTTGCAAGAGAAGTAATCACCTCTTGTGTGTATCAGCCATATCAGATATGAGTGGACTTTAGTTGAATTACTGCACGCTTTCTTCTAAGTTACAATATGATGCAAAAGATCAGTGTGTAGCTGAGACCTTTAGATGAGTATATCTAAGTAGCCCTCAGATAGCACATGGCTTTCACTGCTAGAGTGAGAAGAACTATCTTATGTGTCTCTTGGTACTGCAGGGCTTATGGAATGAGCTGAGCTCTGCCTCAGTGAAAAGAATGCCTTCCAAAGTAGCAGAGTTCCAGAGACAGATTCAGTGTAATTCAAGCTTCTTTTGGAAGTCCTTTGCCACTTGCAGTAGGCTGCTTTGAACACCTGAATGACCTTGCTGAGCTCCTAAGATTTGGGCGCAGCTGGGAGAGGGCAGATTTAATATATAATCATAATGACTGTATGCTTTGGATATTCTGTGGAATCAGTATTTGACTCCATTTTGAGGAAAGTTTGTAGCCTAATGTGTTGGGATAAAAACTTGAAAATTTTGACCTAGCTGTCATAGGGTATCCCTGGCTCTCCAAAACCCCTCCAGAACTGCCTGTGACTGCTTTCTTGTTCAACCTAAGGTAGACTACTACACATCTTTGAAAAGAGATTATGATGTGTAAAGTGCTATACTTTATAATACTGTTATAGAAGGTCCCATGTGTTTTAAAAAAAGAGTAAAAGTATTCAACCCAGCTTGGGATACACTTTTAGTCCTGGTCAGTTTGTAGTTCTGTGAGTTTATTTTCTTTATGATAAAGAGTGCATGCAAATAATATATCTTGTGCCATGTCAGGGACATGAAGCCTTGCAGATAGAATGACTTGCAATATGTAGTGACTGTAGAAAGTGGAAGCCACCAGCTCCCAAACCAGTTACAGCACCTTGAGAAGAATTGCATATCTAATTTCAGGGCCTGTAGAAGATGAGTGTTTTTTGGAATTGGCTGAGTTAAGTAGATGGTACAGTTAGGCAAAACATGGAGAAAGTTGCTAATATTGTCCATGAAGTTCTTCTCTTATGTGGCTTCTATACAGTCATGCAAAAAAAAAAAAATTGCGTATCAGTTTTTTTATTGCTTCATTTGAAAGGTGACCCAGCTGCAAGAGAGGAGGGTAAGATTTGTTTTGGATTAACGGAAATATTTTTCTGACTTACAGAAAATGGGATTTTAGTTTTTTTGGGAAGCTGGCCAGGGATGCCTGGCTTGCAGTAAAACAATGGCTTGATAAATTGAGCAAAATTGAGAAGCCACCTGGATATAGGAATGAGAATGAGTGCTGTTCTTGGGATTTTCCAGAGTTGTGAGCAGAATTGCATACGTTTTGGCCTATTTTCACTGTAACTGACAGCATCCCTCTCTGGGGAAGTAAATTGTTCTGGCTGAATGAATAATGAGAATTTTAGTTACTGTGTTTTCTTGCTGTGGTAGCAGCTATGTTACCTGTAGCAGGATAAGATGACTTCTATCTGGCCTTTAGTTTTTAATCATAGAATAAGAATGTTAAGGGTTGGAAGGGACCTTAACGATCCTTATGATCCTTAAGATGTCCCAACATGCTGTGCCATGGGCAGGGTCACCTCCCACTAGACCAGATTGCTCAACAGCTCATCTGATCTGGCTTTGAACACTTCCAGGGTTGAAGTATCCACAGCCTCCCTGGGCAACCTTGTCCAGTGCCTAATTACATTCACAATAATAGGAAAGATTAATAGAAAACCTTTTATTTTTCGTTGTTTCTTTGTGACCCGCTTGCTGTTCATTCTCTGTGTCTGCTCAAAAATTATGGTACACAGTTGGGGTTCTTCAGTCTTCCTGTTTTCACTCTGCATTTTAATTAACCACAGACTAGAGTGTTGTTTGATACTTGGCTGTGTGGTTGATACTTCTGCTTGGAGAGTGGCAGCTGACTGATGCAGAACAGGTTAAAGATGCTATTTCTGGAAAGCTGAGAGGCATGTTGCTGCTTTTTTGTTCATGTTGGCTCTTTCTGTTGTGCCAGTGCAAAAGCAGGTGTAGAAATGGAGTTCATCTTCCTTTTGGAACACAGAGGCACGTGCATCAGTGACCAGCAAAGCACTGATCTTTGACATGGCCTACTTGACAAGATTAAAATAAAATAGAATCATATCTAGTTCTAATGTGGCTTTCTCAAAGTATACTTGAGCTTAGAATTATCTGTTCCATGGTCACTTTGGAATGACCTCTGCAAACTAGCAGTCACTTTACTGTCCAAGCTCATAAATCCTCCACTAAACCAAGTGATTCTCAGCTGCAGAAATTTCAGATATTTACTGTAGTGCTAACTACTTCCAGAATATGTTTCTTTTGCAGGTTATATTTTTATTTTGGTTTTGGTTATATCTTAACTGTTAAATTATTGGCATTTCTGTCTTTCTCCATTTCCAGTTTTTTTACAGTATTAGGTATTTCATTATGGGGGAAGGCGGTAATTTTCTTAAAGCTAATTGATTTCTCTTAGTCCTCTACTGTGCCACTGTTGTTTTGAGGATGCAGGTGGATAGAAAGGATGAGAGCAAATGTGAATTAAAAACAGAATTGTATTAAAACTTGTGTATGGTGTAGTCAAAAAGCAGTGTAATTTTTGCATAATCATGAAGTAATCAATACAGCCAAAACAGTGGAAATCAGTCAGTAATCCAAGACCTTCAGTTGGTACACAATATTAACGAATTTATATTTATTTAATATTTCATAATTGTTACTCCTTTTGCCTTTGCTTTGTTTTAAAAAAAATCTTACTATTTAGCTTTCAGTAAAATGCATTAGTCTGTCTTTTTGCTTTCTAGACAAACTATGAAAACAGAATATACAGTCTGAAAGTAGAGTGTGGACCTAAATACCCAGAAGCACCTCCTACAGTTAGATTTGTAACTAAAATTAATATGAATGGAATAAATAATTCCAATGGAATGGTAAGTTGAAATGGTAAGATCAACCATGTTGTTAATTTACACTAAAAAATATTTCTGTGAAAATCAGGTGAGGAATATGCATGTTGCACAGAGCTTTTTATTTCATTTTTATAATATAAATGCAGATTTAAATTGAAATTTGGTGGCCTACTACTTTAAATCTTTGTGGCTTTTTGTGGCTTACCAATGAGACGAGCATTATTTATAATATTGAGACAGTTGTTTCTTTTAAATGATGGTTTTAGTTTTGAACAGGAAAACAATAAGTGTTTAAGCTCTATGTAGATATTTTCCTCATAATACTCTTATAAAAGGGGATTAGTTTCGTATTGTAGCAGGAATATTACAGATTCTCTGATGTTTCCACTAATTAAAAATGGAGGTTATTCCTGATGAGACTCACTCTGGATGTATTAACTCACCTGTAATGAACTGGTGTATTTATACTCTTGTTTCCTTTATACTGGATTTATTAAAATCCAAGGTGATTCTGAACACCAGTCTTAAGACCTTTTGATATAGCTGGTAATCACTTGCATTTTAAAGGTCAATTTGCAGTAAGTTGCTTTCACTGATGCTGCAGTTAGGGTGGGATGAGTTCACAGATCTGCTGTGGCAGCAGCTCAGACAAGCTTGTTACTCACCAGGTACTTAAACACTGTGAGCAATTGTGGTGCCCCTTTGCTCAGAGAAGAAGTGTGAGCTGCCTTGCATTTGCAGTGCTGTGTGCCTGTATCAGCAGGAAACACAATCACATTTGTGGGCATATTTGTCTCTACTGAATGCAGATTAATTGGGTTAAGGTAATACCTAAAGGTGCATTAGCATCTTTGGATTTTAAATAATTTGTGAGATTTAAAAGAAATACAGACTTGCATTTCTGTAATTAACGGTACTGAACTGTGAAGCTCAAGTGTCTCAATGATTGTAGCAGGGGAGGAGGTTCCCAGGTTTGAGCTGTTGTAGGTTGTAGAGTAGTGTTTTGGTTGGTCATCCAAAGCTAGTGCACAAATGCTTCAGAAATAATCTGAAATTACTCTGAAAATACTTTTATGTAGCTAACAATCTTACTCTCCCTGAAGATCCTGTTAAAATTGCTATCTGAAAATTGACTCGTGCCCTTTATCACAGCTGTGGCTTGTTGTCTAAGGGTGTGTATTTATTGAGAAGTTGTGAGAAGCAAAAACGGCTTACAGTATGTTTGGAAGATGATTTTCATACCTCTTCCTAGTTTCATAGGAACGTGTATTACTGTGATTCAGTGAAGAAGTATGCTGTCATGGCTTAATCTCTGCATACCTGAAGGTATAAGTGCTGGTTTTCAGAAGCAGGACCTTAGACTAGCAGAGCCTGAAGGCTCTTGTTTACTGAAGCCAGTAAGTTTGAGCTTCTCTTTGGAAAAGTCTACATTCGCTCAGCTTGCTGAGGAGCAGGGTGACTACTATGACAGGAAATCTGCCTAGTCATTTTAAAAGCACTGTTCAAACTGAGTCATTGCTACAGGAAAAATTGATTTTAATAAGTTAATAACTTTACATCAAACCATCATTAATTTTTCGCCCCAAAAGATAATTTTGTGTATCTTATGAGGGATTTGCTATGCAAATGCATAACTTCTTTTTTTAATGGGTTTAAATAGGAATAAATAGTATTTTTAATGAAAGGAATTTTCATAAGTAATGAATTTAAAACACATTTATTATATAATTTTTAATGTGTCCATTGTCCTAGTGTCCTGCATTTTATCTTACTTTGTGGTCGTTAGAGGAACCGTGAAACAAACAGTGGGGCATGTTCAGCATCCTGAAGCAGTTAATATTGCTGCTTCCTGATAGCTGCTTCATGTTTCTTCCAAGCTGTTCTACTACTTTATGGTCATCTTTCATTTAATAGATCATAAGTGGTTTGAATTCTTTGAATTAATGGCAGGGTTTCATCTGCAGACTTCTTCTACTATCTGTGCTTCTGCAGGCACCCTGGGTTTTGACATGTGGTCAGCTTTTGGTCACATTGCTTATAGAAGTCAGGAAGAAGTTGTGACTTGCTGAAAAGAGACCTGAGACAAACAGCAGCTGAAATTGTTTTATCTTAGCAGATTGTACTCAAAACATTTGTAATGTTGTTAAGGTAGGCTTGTGTGCCAGTCAACATCTGTGGAAAAGTAGGGCCCACACTGGGAGTTTTAGAGGGTAATAATTTCTGTTGAGTTAGAGTGTGAGTGGTGGAGGGGAAAGATGGATAAGTGCAGTTACTAGGGACCTAGGGAAACTGTTCTCATACTGCCCTGTAGGCAATGGTTCTCAACTTTCTTGACTTAAAAATCCTTTTACACTTTGCAGGAAAAGGGCATGTGTGCAATGAATTTATCAATACTTACAGGTACAACTTAATTTTTGTTTGGTTATTCTGTGAGAGAGGAGTTTATAAGTAACTTTCTGCCAGCAGCATATCTTCAGGAATCACTGTTTGATAAATTTAATGCCAGAAAGGAGAGAACTAGTTCAGGACTATTTTATTTCAAAAGACTTAGGTGCTCTGAGGCACCCTGTTAAATTGTCTTTCTTTTATTATCTGCAAGTTAAGAAAAAAGTTTGTGCCTTTTTTCTTTTAGTTTACCTATGAAGCTGCAATATTTCTATATAGAATTAGATTACTAAGGTCAAAAAAACTCGTACAAGTACTTGTGTAGAACTGCACAAAATGCTTTTATGTGCTAATGGCATCACTGTTGTAAAACTGTGGATTATTATTCCTGATGCTACACGGTCTTTCCTTTGGAGACTTATGTATCCCATATTGATAAAACACAGGTTGCCTTCTAATGTGCTGTTTGTTCTCCCGTTTTCTTCTGAGTTTGTCTCATTTTTGCATCTGTGATAGTGCTCCTCAGCAGTCTGTCTTGCAGGATTTGCAATCACTTGTGTTCATTAAGATACCATTTACAGCTGGAAATACTTGTTTCCTTTTAAATCATTTGGGACTTTCAGCTGTAAATCTGTAAGCTGCCCAGTTACTGCTTTGACTATGTTTGCTGTAGACATTTGCTACTTGTTGAAGTTACTTGGAACATTGTAAACACTGAATACTTTGCATAATTGTGTAAAATAATTTGTTTTATTTTCAACTGTTTAGAAAAAAACAATGCATTTTATATATTGCTTCTCTTGCTATTATTCAGGGTTCCACAGTGGTGTACCCCCCCTTATTCAGGGTTCCCCAGTGGGGTTCCCCCCCCCCCCCATAAAAGAGTCTAAATAAAATAGTCTTCAGATTGCAGTTTGCAGCTTTATTAGCTTTTATCTGACCTTGAAATGTCTCCCTCTGTGTTCCAGGGTGTGCATTTGAATCATTTGAATGTTACCTAATGCTTTTGTGTGACTTGAACATAGTTTGTGTCACTCTCTTAGATGTCTTATCATTGTTCTTCATAAAGTGAGTTTATTGTGCACTAACTTGGAAATCAGTTCTGCAAGACAGAAAACAGAACCTGAGCCAAAATCTTTACTGCTGCAAGATGTTATGAAAGAAGCTGGTGACTTGCAGAAAAGAGACTTGAGATAAACAAGCAACAAAAATGTCATGTTGCAGCAGTCTTTAGTCAGAAAACATTCATAGCAATGGTAAAGCAGAGTTTGCAGTCTGTGAGGTTTTTTGTTGCAAATTCCCAGGAAAAAAGAGAAGCAGGAGGAGCTTACTCTTAAGTGATCAGCTCTCATGTTCCAGTCTTTGTAGAACTGCATTATTTGAACAGCAGTGGTGACTGGCTGCTGTGTGCTGTAATTGAGGCAAACATTCAGATCTGAAGGAGCCAACAAAGGCAAAATTGAGGAGAAGCATGGAGAAGGAAGATGGTGTGAAAACAGAATTTCCAGAATGAAGATAGATGTTTATTTCTGTAGTCCCAGAGCAACTTCCTTTCCAGCCATTTTTCCTCCTATCTACCATGTTAACCCAAATCCCCCTTTAAAAAAGTAGTAATATCACAAGAATTAGAGTGATGATTTCACCAGTGCTAACTTTCAAAACCTTTTTCTGTACTGGCTCATACACTCATGTATTTTAAACTGGCATGGCGTTGCTGCGTAGTAGAGCTTTTCTTTTGATGGTGTTTTTCTTTTTTATCAAATGTTTGCGATAATTATTAAGTCACCTGACTGCCATTCGTACTGCAGCTTGATGATACAAGTTGTTTTTGGCAACTCTGCTGACTTCAAGGGGTTCCCAACTCTGAGCAGAACATTGTGTGAAAAGAAATGCTTGTAAGTGCTGAGCTGTAAATAAGGTCAAGGATCCTACTTAGGGATTTCTTTCCAAGGTGGTGCTTTAAACTGGGTGGGTTCTGTCAGTTCAGATCAGAAAATATTTCCCCGTACATGGTTTACCTGAGCTGATAGGCAGTAGCACTGTTAAAGGAACAAGAGAGGGAACAGAAGTTTCTTGGGGTAGTATTGCTACCCAAGCCAGCACGTAGTTAAACCTTGGCCTCAGTTTCCTCCTACAAAAAGGTTTAGTCTCATCTGGTGTTCTGAAAATAGCCTCACTTCAAATAATCTAGAAATAAAACGTCTGTGTTAACATACTTATTTCTGATTCCAGGTTTTTTTTTTCTTTCAGCTTGCCCTAATTAAGATGGGATAAGAAACTTTTTTATGTTTTGTGCTGCTTAAATAATAAAATAGTGGTTTCCAGCACTCTTGTAGCCATGTGGGCTGCAACTCTACCAGAGGAATCCAGTAGCAAGCAATAGCCCTATTCCTGCCCCAGGGCCTACTTTGCAGTTGCATGGCTGTAGGCCCCTCTGTGCTCTTAAGTTCCTCCATGCAGGGGTTGGGACTTAACCTGCTGCCAAAACAATTCCCAGGATGACTTTCAGTTGCTGACTTTCCTATGGAAACCTCCCCATTATAATATAATTGTGTAAATTGTCCCGCAGGTTTTATAAACGCATAGGAGAAGTCCCATGTCCTTTCCTTTCAGTTCCTATTCCAGTTGGTAAGTGATGTACAGTAATCTTCACGGCTCCGTAAGATGACTTACTGTGAGAAGGATACCAAGAAATGTCTGAGCATTACAGATCAGTTATTTCAGTATTTCAAGACATTTCTTAATACACGTAGTGCCTCTAGAGGTATCGGAAGCACCGTGTAATATCTGTGGGAAAGAAATCACCAACAATACTTGTAGCAAAGAAATAATAAGGGAATTGCTCCTTTAGAAAGGTATTCTATGGACTCTGGTGTGGCAGGTCTTTTAAAGAGCTGAGGAACAACCAGGTGCATATATTAGCATAGTGGAGGTAATTCCTTGTTTCTTTTTTGGAGGTAATTTGAAAAAACCCCATAAATTTTGCAAGATAGCAGCTCCAGTTTTGCAGTGAACAGTTTGCTGGTGTCCTCCTCCTGTCCTCCTTTCCTTCACACTAATGTAAGTAGCAGCACAGATGGAAGAGTCCACCTGCATGGATTTTATTGCAGAATCTATATCTGTGTGTAAGTATATAATTGTTTTCCTTAAAATATTTTAGGACCACAGGGACTTTATGCCACAGAGAAGGTGTCAGGGAATGCTTAGACTATTTCTTAGAGCAACTGTCAATAACAGTTATTTATGTAGATATTTTGTGTTCAATCATAAATCAGATTTCTCTCTTCTTTTTCCAGGTGGATGCACGGAGCATACCAGTGTTAGCAAAATGGCAAAATTCATATAGCATTAAAGTTGTACTTCAAGAGCTAAGACGTCTAATGATGTCCAAAGAAAATATGAAGCTTCCACAACCTCCAGAGGGACAAACTTACAATAATTAATTTTAGCTGATTCTCAAACTTCTGTCTTAAAACAACAACCTTCTACTCATGTAATGTCTTGATTAAATCTCACAATGCAAACACCCACACATTAAAAAATTTCAGCTGGTATACATGACCTGGACATTTGTAAGAATATATATAATATATGTATGCCCAATATGTTTTCAGGCACTATGGGAGAAAAAGGCAGCACAATTATTTTTTTTCTCTTACTGAGGCACTGTCATTTAAGCCTGAAATAGCCTATAATTGGAATTCAGGTTTTACAAGATGAAAGCATGACAGAAAGTGTCAGATTGCTGTGGAATAATATATGTTACTGAAAATAATTTCTGGAGAAGGCAAAATATAAATGGCATGCTTTATCCATCTTGCTTAGTAAAAGAGCTGCAGTTAAATTTGTTTTAAGGTAGCAGGTACAGTGAATACCGTTGCTCATCTTGTTTAATTTTGCAAGGGTGTGGGTGCCGACTACTAGTAGTGTCACAAAGTATGTTCAGGATTGTTTTGATACCTGTATTTATAAAATGGGGGGATTAATTTCTGTTAAGCAGCTCCTGTGTTACATGTATTGGACATGGCAAATATTTGTTTACAGTCTTTGTTCTAATAAACCATGCATTTAAGTTTTAGTGAAACAAAGGAAATGTATGGATATGTGATTGAGATTAAAGTTAGTCTTAAAATGTAAATAAAATGTGGAAAGTGTCTGAGGCTGTGCCATTTCTATAATAGTCATGTAATATATGTACAGTAACTGGCAGAAGTAGTGGAAAGCAAAACATAATATTGCTGCTGGTGTTACGTGCACCTTTTGCTCTTATCACTTTTGTATGCTTAGTTTACTTGAGAGGTCAAGATATTCCATATGTTGCAGGGGAGTAAGTTCTGTCATCTGTAGTATCACTTCTTTAGAGAAACTTGCATTCTGTGTGTGTGTATATAAATATATTAAAAAAAAACAAAAACAAAAAAACCCAAACACCAAACCAACCCCAAAATAAAAACAAACAAAACCCCCTAGCCTACCCATCTGCCCTTTGCTTCCCCTCTAGATTATTTCCAGAAATGAGCATAACTTTCACTTTGCTTACTTGACCTCTAAGCAGTTTTCAGATCATATTGCTGAAGTCTGTCCTACTTCTGTCCTTTGTCTTGCTTTCTTGCATTTTTTCCTCTTTTATGTTACTTGCCCTTTTTTTTTTTTCTTGTCTGTTCTGCTTTTGCCTTTTCTGAAACACACAAAAAAGAGACTTCAGGAAGCTTTACTAAAAATCACACCTGTGCTACAGATCATCCTATTTCCATCTGCTTAAGATGAATCATTTGCTGTGATGCCACTGTGTTTGTAGCTAGAAGCTTTCTGCCTTTCCTGCAGTCCTTAGTCTGTTTTTTCAATGTATTCTGTCTGGTGGGAACACTGGTTTTTTTCTGTTAGTGATTTCTCATAAGCAAGTAGTTAATGCCATTCTTTTGGATATTACGTCTTCTTTCCCTGCCCCTCACCTTGGAGAATGCAAACCTTTGTTCATTTTGGTGAGAATATGTAACATTGGGAGTGAGATAGCTGTTTGCATTCAAAGTTTTATTTAGTGGTTCTTTTGAAAAGTGGATATGATCAAAAGCCATCAACAGCTAAGTAACTTTCTTTGATAAGCCTTTGCCTACTTCTGATGTAAACAATGAAAAGCAATAAACTAGGTATTCCATTTTTTTTTTTTAATTAATGGTAAGGTTTGATTGATATTTGTCAATTTATGCTTTTTAGACAAATTGGGCACTTCCAGAATTGGTGGATTTATAGCTGCCAGCTACCTCGTGTCTGTATTTATATAACATATCATTTGTGATGGTTTGGCTGAAGTGCATTGCAACTTTTTTTTTCCTTGTTTTAATTGGAATGACTTTGATGCCATTAAATCTTTTTTCTTACACTAACACTGCTAATCTATATTTAATCAATTAAAATAATGGAACTGTACAGTTCTGAAATGTGAATTTTTTGGAAGATTACAACATAAGCTATTGAGACAATGCTTGTAGACTATTATTTGGTTGGTAGCATAATTTAAGAGACTGGCTTATTCACAGAGCATCAAGAAGAGCCTGTTGTTTGCATGGCTGTGTGTGGTACAAGGTGATCCTGTAATAGTCTGTCCATTTGTATCAGTGAGAATCTGCATATCCAGCTCTAAACAGATATATTTTGCAGAAGGAAAAATCGGTTCTGGAGGGAGTTGAGCTGTTTTCTGACACTGGAGTATGTAATACATGGATGACTATAAAAATATTCCTGCAGTGATCTTAGGTTTGTTGGTTCTCTATTTTGCTCACACTGGGACAAGTCTGAAGTGTAATTAATTGTGAAATTTTAAAATGTCTTCAATTACTGCATAAAGTTCAGAGCCTCCTCAAAACTCTTCTACTCCCTGAAGAAGATTTTGAAGCAATGTGCTTACTCTCCTCCAGAAAAATTATGTTTTGCAAGTATCAATTCTGCTCAGTGTTTACTTCAGATTTGCTTTCTCATATTCTGAAGTTCTCATTAGGTAGCCTATTTAGATGACAGAATTTTAATTTTCCTCTCATGAGTATTTAATTTGTGTTACATTCTTTGGCAAGATTTGAATTTGCCATTGTTACCAAATGTGTATTTTTTTCTTTTCAAACCCGTATTTGAACTATTGTCAACTAAATCTTGCAAAGCAGAGCACCATTTGAAGCCAATTGAGTGAGGGACAAAGCGGAAAAGCTCTAAATACATAATTCTTTTTGTGTTGGTGGTCGTTGGCTGGGATTTAAACTAGCTTTGTGCTCTGAAGCATTGCCAAAGTTCTTGTGTTTTGGTTGTTTGAGACACGGATACATTTTCTGTGAAGCAGAGAAAAAAAAAAGCCAAAGATGGTATGATTCATACTTTGTTAAACCTTAAGATACAATGAGCAAGCCTATGGAAATAGCCACATTACAAATGATGTGCCTTACTCAGATAATAAAGAACAGAAAACATTGCAAGGTGTGAAGCTACCAATGGCCTTGATTGCTCTCCTCTTCCTGAATGCAAGCTGAGAATGCATTTCACCAAGCAAGACAGAGTCAGCAGCACATCCCTCAACTATTATCAAATAGATGCATAATGCACATTCCTCCTAAATGTTTGTTACTGTATAGGGGATACCAAAAGAAAAATTCTAGTGCATATTATGACAGTTGATCACCTATAATGGTAACAGCTGTATAATTTAGACAAGTGTTTTGTGTTTTGCATGGTTACTTACATGGTGAGTTGTAGCTATTTAGTTGCTTTTGGGACAATAGCTCAAGGCTTAAAAATATAAGTTACACTTCTCTTATGCTCTCTTTTGATGCAGAAGGCACACTTAGTAGGCCACCAGATAATTGTCCTGTGGCAGAGGCAGGATGTCTGACTACTACTTACTTTAATTCTGGCCTCTACTTTATGAAAACACAGCCAGATTGCCCTGGTGTGGCTGATTTCAGCTGCTAGAGGAGGAGCAAACTGGTACTAAGCAAGTCTGAATATGTGTTACTGTACCAAAGACAGATGACTTAAAACTCCTGTTGGTCTTCTATGTGAGTAAAATTCCAGATAGATGTGAAGCAGTGGGACAAAATATGTTTCTCGTCAATGTTTCTAAATAATGTGTTCAGAACTCTTTTGTGAAGCTTGAAAGATTTATGAGGTGGGGAGGTGTTGGAGGAACATGACTGTCTGTTGTCTTTATTTAATAATAATGATAATAAATTAAAAAGAAAAAGCTTTAAAACTTGTTAATCCATCTGTTTTAACTCTCTTTGTTGAAGCAATTGTGGGAGATGTATTTTTCTGTTTCCTGTTCTGCTGATTGCCTTATTCCCTCAATCAATGTGCTGTACATTTTCTGTTGAAGACCCGACTGATCATGGGCTAAAGTGTGAAGGATGTAATGCTAGAAGTATAAAAATAACATACTTGATGCTTTAAAAAAACCTCACAAAATTACTTCTTACATTACCATAGTGTTACTATCATAGTGGTCATAGTGGTTTATAAATTTGTTGGGTTTCTTGTGTTTTTTATTTTTCAACTAAATGGATGTATACTTTCAGCTCAATTTGTAAAGAGCTTTAAGTTTATGTACAGTCAATTCTGTTTTTTTAAAATACACATAAGCAAACTGTCAAGTAGCATTTCCATATTCAAGCAGTTCTATAATGTTTTTTAGTCTTTACCATTTAAAAATAGTGATAAATATTTAAAAAATTATTTATATAAGCAACAAACTGTATAAATGCATAACTTAATGGAAGATGTTGAGATAATGCACATATAAGCAGTGTTTTGGATCTCTTGATGAAATTTGTGTTTTCTATACTAATTTATGACTTTTCACCACTTCTTAACAGCAGCAGCCCAACCTTCTGCTTTTAATATAAGCAGTATGGATTAAATGTAAACATGGTTTTATAATTCATAATTTATAAACTTTATGTAGTGTGGGTTAGAAAACCCCAAACTGTGTATTTGTTAAATGAGAAGTACTGAAGGAATGGCTGTACAGTCATACTATCAAAGTTTTCCTAAGCTGGATTGTGCTTGTTCCTACTCTGCTCCCTGCTGATTGTTACAAATGTGTAGGTATGCTGATTTAACACACTGGCTATTTAAATTTTAATATTACTATTATTACATCCTATTATTATTATTTTTAAGCATGTGGGAATGACAAGGGGAGGGGAGAAGAGTTTGATTTCCCTCTGCAATTTCTACTAAAAATTGCCAAGAAAAGAAAAAACCTGGAAGAGGTAAACACATCTCTTACTGACTTGACTTGAAAATAGCCTGAAGAATTTTCTGTATTTTTCCAATTGTCACAGAATTAAAGAGCTGTTTCAATTAGAATGAGAGCAGCTTAAATAGTAGAGCTGTGAAGTTGTCATGAAGATACGGAAGAGGGTGTTTCTAGCAGATCTTCCAGCATCATGAAACTGGGTTAACATGGGAGTGAGGGTTCAGCTTCGCAAAATGGCTTTGGGAAATGATGTGGCATTTGGAACTCCTTAAAGTCAGCCTCGCAGGACTTAACCCACTCTTAATCTCTTTTACTTTCTTAAGATAGAGTATTCCTGCATGCAGTTGTTAAAACATTGTGGTGAAGTACAGCAGGTTGAGATGGCTTTGTTTCTCTTAAGTTTTGACAAAACTTGCCACAATGAGGAGCTGTGTAAACCAAAAGTGTAGAAGTGTGTGGTGGTGGCAGCTGGCTCTTTAGTTTCCACATTCATCTAAGTGGTTGGTGATCAGCAGTTTTGGGTTTAAATGTGTGCATGTAGTTGAGAGAGTCAACACTATTCTGAGAAAACCCTGTACTAAAAGCTCTGCTTTTGTAATGGTATTGGGCAAATTGCCAACAGCCCTGACCTTTTCTGGCCAACAGATTCCTTCAGTGTTTGTTGTTTGCCTGACTGCAGTTTTGGGAGAGAGCATTATTTCCCATCTCTGGGAGGTACGTTGCACTTTGAACTCTGGGACTGTCTGCTTCTGAGAAATCTAAAATAACTCCTTGCCACAACATCACAATTTGAGGATTTGCGGAGATGGTCATAGTCATCTTAGGTTGTGTTTTCTGAAACAATTTCCTGTCATATGTACATTTTTTTCTGTCTGAAGGTTTGCAGATTAAATTTACTGTATCATATGATATTAC